AAGTAGTTGAGAGATATATTACAGATTCCCTAAGGGACTTTTCTTTCCAAGAACAAAGGGTTAATGTCTTAAAGCTAATTTATGGTAACACAGTTCATATTTTCACATAGACTAGCCCTTCGTCTACGTACAAAATAGAGCCATAGGTATTAATTACTTCAGGAAAATGTTGATGCTGTTAAATGGTAATGTCAGATCATTGAGTGATTTTAGTCCATTATGCCAAATTTTATATTTTCTGGGTTTGTGATTTTTTCTGGGACCCCGGTTACTTCATTCTTGAGCTGAGTAGCATCAAGGGTTCTTAGTGAACTGAGCTCCTTCTGGCCCACACTGTTCTGGTTATGCTGCTGGATTATGGGTCTTTACTACCCTAAAAAGGTCTCTGAAGAAAATGATAAGAAAGACTATTGTTATAGGAGTAGTTGGGATAGGAAGTAAAGCAAAGAGACTCAAGTGGTGGCAGGAAAGACACACTTGGAAGATCACTTATTTGGTAAAATGTCTTGGTTACATGTCTTTCCATGTATTATGTTTATGCCTTATCATTTCTGGTGACAGAAAATGCTTTTTAAATTACTTTTGAATGTATAATCTTTTCTCTTTCTGTTTTTAATGTGCAAAAACAGGAAAAGCAGAATTATGTTGTAATACATGAAATAAGATGAAATGGCATAATGGCTTTGAAACATTTTAAAAAGTAAAAAACTGTGTAAAAGCAAGTTCAGTATAAATTTAATATTACATGTAATATAATGATATAAATGCATGCTTATTGGTAATAGTGTTATTAGATTAGTATTTTTTTACACTGTTTATCAAGGAAATTTTTACATTACATATTGTTAACATTGTTTTCAAAGATTTACATCTCCCTTGAATTTTTTGCCCTCACAGGAGAATGATTTTATATTCCTTCTCATTTATACTCTATTTTTGCACTTCTAAAAAACAGTGTGCTTGATAAATGCCCTAAGCCATGACACATCCCCTTAGAATTCAGTTAGTCTGGCTAGAGAAAACATCAAATTGATTAAAAGCCTGTGTCTAAGTTTTATCATAGTTTGTATGCAAGAGAAAGTGCTAGTGTGCTAATTAAAGAGCCATTCTTGGTAGGGATATTTCATAAATGAAGAAAATGATAAGATGATAATCATTACCCTGATAAACATATAAAAAAGAAAGTCTGGATAAATACTACTAGACTCATGACTAAAGGGCAACTGACCATATGGTAGCTGAGTCACTGGTTTTCCAAGCCAGATTTTAAACCCATTATAGTTCATCAGAAAGGTATTTCAAAAATTTTTCAGAAATGTTTATGTCTTTCCAAAGGAGGTTAAAAATTACAATCTTAATCATGTTCCTAGATATGGAATTTTTTTCTTTTACATACCTAATTATTTCAGTATATTCTTCTTTTATCATATAGTGACTAATCAGTCCTTACATAAGCTATATTTGTAAATTTCCAATTTTTTTAATCCTAGAAAAGAATGTTAATTTTTTAACATGTGCTGAACTGCTAGGAAAAACAAAATCTACCAGATGAAGAAAAAACACTAGTTGATTTTTTTAAATTAATTTATTTTTAACTGAAGGATAATTGCTTTACAGAATTTTGCAGTTTTCTGTCAAGCATCAACATGAATCAGCCATATATATACATATATCCTCTTTCCTTTGAAACTCCCTCCCATCTCCCTCCCCATCCCACCCCACTAGGTTGATACATAGCCCCTGTTTGAGTTTCCTGAGCCATACAGCAAATTCACATTGGCTAAATACTTTACATATGGTAATGTAAGTTTCCATGTTACTCTTTCCATACATCTCACCCTCTCCTCCCCCTCCCCATTTCCATAAGTCTATTATCTATATCTGTTTCTCCATTGTTGCCCTGTAAATAAATTCTTCAGTACCATTTTTCTAGATCCCATATAATTGTGTTAGAATACAATATTTATCTTTCTCTTTCTAACTCACTTCACTCTGTATAATAGGTTCTAGGTTCATCCACCTCATTAGAACTGACTCAAATGTGTTCATTTTTATGGCTGAGTAGTATTCCATTGTGTATATATACCACAACTTCTTTATCCACTCATCTGTCGATGGACATCTAGGTTGCTTCCATGTTTTAGCTATTGTAAATAGTGCTGCAGTGAACAATGGGATAGATGTGTCTCTTTCAATTTTAGTTTCTTCAGGGTATGTGCCTAGGAGTGGAATTGCTGGGTCACATGATGGTTTTATAACTAGTTTTTTAAGGAATCTCCATACCGTCTTCCATAGAGGTTGTATCAATTTACATTCCCACCAACAATGCAAGAGTGTTCCTTTTCTCCACACCCTTTCCAGCATTTATTGTTTGTAGACTTTTTGATGAGGGCCATTCTGACTGGTGTGAGGTGATATCTCACTGTAGTTTTCATTTGCATTTCTCTAATAATGAGCAATGTTGAGCATCTTTTCATGTGTTTGTTAGCCATCTGTATTTCTGCCTTGGAGAAGTACCTGTTTAGGTCTTTTTACCACTTTTTTTATTGGGTTGTATGTTTTTCTAGTATTGAGTTATATGAGCTGTTTGTATATTTTGGAAATTAATCCTTTGTCAGTTGTTTCATTTGCTATTATTTTCTTCCATTCTGAGGTTTGTCTTTTCACCTGGCTTATAGTTTCTTTTGCTGTGCAAAAGCTTTGAAGTTCAATCAGGTCCCACTTGTTTACTTTTGTTTTGATTTCCATTACTCTAAGAGGTGGGTCATAGAGGATCTTTGATTTATGTCATTGAGTGTTCCGCCTATGTTTTCCTCTAACGGTTTTATAGTTTCTGGTCCTACATTGAGGTCTTTAATCCATTTTGAGTTTCTCTTTGTGTATGGTGTTAGGAAGTGTTCTAGTTTCATTCTTTTACATGTTGCTGTCCAGTTTTCCCAGAACCATTTACTGAAGAGGCTGTCTTTGCCCCATTGTATATTCCTGCCTCCTTTGTCAAGAATAAGTTGCCCATACATGCATGGGCTTATTTCTTGGTGTTCTATCTTGTTCCACTGGTCTATATTTCTTTTCTTGTGTCAATACCATACTGTCTTGCTGACTGTAGCTTTGTAGTATAATCTGAAGTCAGGAAGCTTGATTCCTTCAACTCCATTCTTCTTTCTCGAGACTGCTTTGGCCATTCAGGGTCTTTTGTGTTTCCATATGAATTGTGAAGTTTTTTGTTCTAGTTTGGTGAAAAATGCCATTGGTAATTCGATAGGGATCACATTAAATCTATAGATTGCACTTGGTAGTAAAATCATTTTCACAATATTGATTCTTCCAACCTAGGAACATGGAACATCTCTCTGTTTATGTCATCTTTGATTTCTTTCATTAGTGTTTTATAATTTTCTGTGTACAGTTATTTAGTCTCCTTTGGTAAGTTTATTCCTAGATATTTAATTATTTTTCTTGCAATGGTGAATGGTATTGATTCCTTAATTGTTTTTTTCTGATTTTTCATTGCTAGTATATAGCAATGCTAGTGATTTCTGTGTATTGATTTTGTATCCTGCAACTTTGCTAAATTCACTGATTAGCTCTAGTAATTTTCTGATACTATCTTCCATGTTTTCTGTGTACAGTATCATGTCATCTGCAAGCAGTCAGAGCTTTACTTCTTCTTTTCTGATCTGGATTCCTTTTATTTCTTTTTCTTCTCTGATTGCTATAGCTAGGACTTCCAGAATTATGGTGAATAATAGTGGTGAAAGTGGACACCCTTGTCTTGATCCTGATCTTAGGGGGAATGCTTTCAGTTTTTCACCATCGAGAATAATGTTTGCTTAGGCTTATCATATACTGCCTTTACTATGTTGAGGCCAGTTCCTTCTATGCCCATTTTTTAAGAGTTTTAATTATAAATAGGTGCTGAATTTTGTCAAAGGCTTTTTCTGCATCTATTGAGATGATCATATGGTTTTTATCTTTCAATTTGTTAATGTGGTATATCACATTGATTTCCATATAGTGAAGAATCCTTGCATTCCTGGAATAAACCCAACTTGATAATGGTGTATGAGCATTTTGATGTGTTGCTGAATTCTGTTTGCTAAAATTTTGTTGAGGATTTTTACATCTATGTTCATCAGTGATATTGGCCTATAGTTTTCTTTTTTTGTGTTGTCTTTGTCTGGTTTTGTATCAGGGTGGTTGTGGCCTCGTAGAATGAATTTGGAAGTGTTCCTCCCTCTACAGTTTTTGAAAGAGTTTTAGAAGGATAGGCATTAACTCATCTCTAAATGTTTGATAGAATTCAAAGCAAAAATACAAGCCCAATCATCAGCAGGCAGGAGAGTACCACCTCCCTCAGCCTTGCCTATCAGTAGAAAAGCAAACAAACAGGCGAAAACTCAGCACAAATTGACCCTATACGAAGCTCACACAAACCACTGGACCAACCTCAGGAGGGCGAAAACCAAAACGGAGAAAGAATTCAGTCTTCTTCAGGAAAAGAATTCAACTTTCATTGAAGCCTGGCAAAAGGAGACCTCAAACACAAAAACCCTCCTCCCCACCCCCAGAAAAAAAGAAAAGGCAGAGAAATGCTGCACAGATGAAGGAACAAACTAGAAACACAGAAGTCCAAATCAATGAAGGGGAAATAAGGAAATTACCTGAAAATAATTCAGAATAATAATAATAAAGATGATCAAAAACATTGAAAACAAAATGGAAAAACTGCAAGACTCTATTAACAAAGACCTAGAAGAATTTAAGAATACAGAGACAAACAGCACAATTCCTGAAATTAAAAATACTCCAGGGAGCTGTGGTCTCGGCGCCTGCCCGGCTTGCAGCTTCGGGTGCTCCGGAGGCTGCAGCTCGGGAACCGGTGATGGGGGAGGGGAGGTGGGGGGCGCCAGGCAGGTGGGGCGCGAAAGCTATGACTCTTCGGCTCTTCCTCCTCCCGGACCCGTTCTCTGCCTCCCGCTCCAACGCCCGGATGATCTGAGCCAGACCTAGAGAATCAAGACATAATGGGAGCATTTTTAGACAAACCAAAGATGGAAAAACATAATGCCCAGGGGCAGGGTAATGGGTTGCGATATGGGCTAAGCAGCATGCAAGCCTGGCGAGTTGAAATGGAGGATGCACATACTGCTGTGATCGGTTTGCCAAGTGGACTTGAAACATGGTCATTCTTTGCTGTGTATGATGGGCATGCTGGTTCTCAGGTTGCCAAATACTGCTGTGAGCATTTGTTAGATCACATCACCAATAACCAGGATTTTAAAGGGTCTGCAGGAGCACCTTCTGTGGAAAATGTAAAGAATGGAATCAGAACAGGTTTCCTGGAGATTGATGAACATATGAGAGTTATGTCAGAGAAGAAACATGGTGCTGATAGAAGTGGGTCAACAGCTGTGGGTGTCTTAATTTCTCCTCAACATACTTACTTCATTAACTGTGGAGACTCAAGAGGTTTACTTTGTAGGAACAGGAAAGTTTACTTCTTCACACAAGATCACAAACCAAGTAATCTGCTGGAAAAAGAACGAATTCAGAATGCAGGTGGTTCTGTAATGATTCAGCGTGTGAATGGCTCTCTGGCTGTGTCGAGGGCCCTTGGGGACTTTGATTACAAATGTGTCCATGGAAAAGGTCCTACAGAGCAGCTTGTTTCACCAGAGCCTGAAGTCCATGATATTGAAAGATCTGAAGAAGATGATCAATTCATTATTCTTGCATATGATGGTAGTTGGGATGTCAGCTCTGTGATTTTGTAAGATCCAGACTTGAGGTCACTGATGACCTTGAGAAAGTTTGCAATGAAGTAGTCGACACCTGTTTGTATAAGGGAAGTCGAGACAACATGAGTGTGATATTGATCTGTTTTCCAAATGCACCCAAAGTATCACCAGAAGCAGTGAAGAAGGAGGAAGAGTTGGACAAATACCTGGAAAGCAGAGTAGAAGAAATCATAAAGAAGCAGGGGGAAGGCGTCCCTGACTTAGTCCATGTGATGTGCACATTAGTGAGTGAGAACATACCCAGCCTCCCACCAGGGGGTGAACTGGCGAGCAAGCGGAATGTAATTGAAGCCATTTACAATAGACTGAATCTGTACAAAAATGATGACACCGACTCTACATCAACTGATGATATGTGGTAAAACTGCTCATCTAGTCATGGATTTACCTTCACCTCCAAAGGAGAGTACAGCTCAACTTCACTGAACCTTTTAAACATCCATCCTCAACTTTTAAGAAGGGCATATATGACATGGGTGAGAGTGATTACACCAGAGAACTTCAGCAGTACAACAGCTAGCCCACAACTGATTTTTTTTGTTGGTGTAAATTTGAGACTCATGTAAATGTGATTTCAAACCATAATTCATATGTTGTAAATCAGACTCCAGCAATTTTTGTTGTATGATTTTGTTTTTTGTAAAGTATAATTGTCCTTGTAAAAAATGCTCATATTTAATTATGAACTGCTTTAAATCACTATCGAAGTTACAAGAAGTATTTGGCTTACTGTGTGATACAACAGATATATAGCCCTTTCAAGTCATGTTGTGTTTGGACTTGGGGTTGGGACAGGAAGAGCAGCAGCCATGTCAGCTAGACACTCACATGTGCACCTGATTATGCAGAATTATTCCGAAGTATTATTACAAAGCTGAATATCCAGGGAGTTAATTGAAAACTATTTTAATGTTCTTGGCAGTGGGATTGGAATTGTTGATAAAGTTGGTCCCTTCATTTAACTGTCTTTTAGGTTCTTTCCTTGTTGCCATGAGTATTGCAGGTAATAGAATATATTCATAAAAATATCAATCTTGGGGCTAAAATGCCTTGATTCTTTGCACCTCTTTTACAAGTCCGTACATTTAATTACTAATTGATAAGCAGTAGCTTCCTACAAATGGTAGGACACTGCCACGTCTTTGCTATCATGATTGGCTGGGCCTGCTGCTGTTCCTAGTAAGATATTCTGAATTCCATTTTATCAATAAAGCTTGATTTAACAAACAAGAAAAAAAAATACTCCAGAAGGAATCTATAGCAGAATATCTGAAGCAGAATGAATCAGTGAGCTGGAAGATAAAATGGTGGAAATAACTTCTGAAGAGCAGAATAAAGTAAAAAGAATGAAAAGAGCTGAGGACAGTCTCAGAGACCTCTGGGACCATATCAAACTCAAAAACATTCGAATTATAGGAGTCCCAGAAGAAGAGAAAAAAAAGGGTATGAGAAAATTTTTGAAGAGATTATAGTTGAAAATTTCCCCAGCATGGAAAAGGAAATAGTCAATCAAGTCCAAGAGGCACAAAGAGTCCCATACAGGATAAACTAAAGGAGAAACACGCCAAGACACATACTAATCAAACTAACAGAGACTAAACACAAAGAAAGTATATTAAAAGCAACAAGAGAGAAGCAACAAGTAACATACAAGGGAAACCTCATACTGTTAACAGCTGATCTTTCAGCAGAAACTCTGCAGGCCAGAAGGGAATGGCAGGATATATTTAAAGTACTGAAAGGGAAAAATCTACAACCAAGATTACTGTACCCAGCAAAGATCTCATTCAGAATTGATGGAGAAATAAAAAGCTTTTCATACAAGCAAAAGTTACTTCAGTACTACTAAACCAGCTTTACAACTAATGTTAAATGGACTTATATAGTCAAGAAATACAAGAGAAGAAAAAAGATCTACAGAATCAACCCCAAACAATTAGAAAATGGCAATAGGAACATACATATCAATAATTACATTAAATGTAAATGGATTAAATGTTCCAACCAAAAGACACAGACTGGGAGAATGGATACAAAAACAAGACCCATATATATATATATATATATGCTTTCTACAAGAAACCTACTTCAGACCTCAAGATGCATATAAACTGAAAGTGAGAGGATGGGAAAATATATTCTATGCAAATGGGAAGCAAAAGAAAGCTGTTGTATCAATCCTCATATCAGAAAAAAATGGACCGTAAAGTAAAGAAGATTGCAAGATATAAGGAAGGACACTACATAATGATCAAGGGATCAATCCTAGAGAAAGACATAACAATTGTAAATATCTATGCACCCAACACAGGAGCACCTCAATACATAAGACAAACACTAACAGACGTAAAAGGAGAATTTGACAGTAACACAATAATAGTAGCAGACTTTAACACCCAACTCACACCAATGGACAGATCATCAGAAAAGAAAATTGATAAGGAAACACAAGTCTTAAATGAGACATTAGATGAGATGAATCTTATTGATGTCTTCAGAAAATTCCATCCTAATACAGAAAGATACACCTTTTCTAGTGCACAAGGAACATTCTCCAGGATAGACCACATCTTGGGTCACAAAGCAAGCCTCAGTAAATTTAAAAAAATTGAAATTGTATCCAGTATCTTCAACCACATGCTATGAGACTAGATATCAGTTAGAAGGAAAACAAAACTGTAAGAAATACAAACACCTGGAGATTAAACAACACATTTCTAAATAACCAACAGGTTACTGAAGAAATCAAAAGGGAAATAAAAAAGCTTCTAGAAACAAATGACAATGAGAATACGACAACTCAAAACCTATGGGATGCAGCAAAACCTGTTCTAAGAGGGAAGTTTATAGCAATACAATCCTACCTCAAGAAACAAGAAAAACATCTAATAGACACCCTAACTTTACACCTAAAGCAATTGGAAAAAGAAGAAAAAATCCCCAATATTAGTAGAAGGAAAGAAATCATAAAGATCCAAGCAGAAATAACTGAAAAAGAAATAAAAGAAACAAAAGTAAAGATTAATAAAACTAAAAGACAGTTCTTTGAGAAGATAAATAAAATTGACAAACCCTTAGCCAGACTCATAAAGAAAAAAAGAGAGAAGAATCAAATCAACAAAATTAGAAATGAAAGAGGTTACAACAGACAATACAGAAATACAAAGGATTATAAGAGACTATTATGAACAACTTTATGGCAATAAAATAGATAACCTGGAAAAAATGGACAGATTCTTAGAAAAGTTCAATCTTCCAAGACTGAACCAGGAAGAAATAGAAATTATGAGCAACCCAATTACAAGCACTGAAACTGAAGCTGTGATCAAAAATCTCCCAAAAAACAAAAGCCCAGGACCAGATGGCCTCACTAGTTGATTTTGTATTGTTCTGTCCAGAATCACAGTTACACAGTCACAATTTATTATATTTTGCACCATAGTTGTTTCTTGAGTGAAATAACAATAATTGAAGCAGTAGAGATACAATAAAAGAAACCATATAGCTTTTATTTGGAGTGGTTGTCTCTGCATCAAGGACCAACTTCTTTCTGTTGATTCAAGGACAAAGCAAATCTTGAGGTTAAGTGCTAGCGTCAAATTCATTGGAATTTATAGTTTGACTTGAATCCATGTAATAATACATAGAAACAGAGAAGGAAACGGCACCCCACTCCAGTGTTCTTGCCTGGGAAATCCCAAGGACAGAGGAGCCTGGAGGGCTGCAGTCCATGGGGGAGCAAAGAACTGGCCATGACTTAGTGCCTAAACAACAGCAATATATCAAATACAGTATTGTAAGAAGGATCACAACTGACTATTTTTCTGTGTGCTTAAAGAATAATGTAAGAAAAAAGTGAATACATTAAAGGTAGATATTAAAAAGACATTGTCTATAAAAATTAAGACACTGGATTAGAGTTTGAGTGATATCTTTTATTGAAAATGTTAAAAAAATTAAAATGCGATTTATAGCACATTTTGGATAGCGGGGAAAGGATGATTTTTAAGGCTTATTTAACAAAATACCAAAAACATCCCAAATGTCTCAAGCAATTTAAGGTGAATGGGCCCCTCTGAAGAGTCTTGAAGAGTAAGAATGAGTTGATCAATTGGGGAGGGAATGGGGTGCAATTAGTATGACCAAAGATGCTAGGTGATGCAAACTTTCAAGAGCGGTACATTATTAATTGAGCATAAAGTACAATTTATGGTTTAGTTTAGTAGCAGCTTGTTGATCTGCAACAAATAGCTTGCTGAATATTTCTCCAGAGAATATGGATTTATTTGGGATCAAAAGAGAACTTCAACTCAGGGTCTGCAACCCAGGCAAGCCAAGATCAAGTTCTTCATGGCAGTGGTAGAAGAACACTTTTTAGAAGGAAAAAAGGAAATTGGGAGGACTATAGTAAACAGAGGATCCATGGTTTTTCGTTGGCTAAAACCTTTCACAGAAAGGAGTCTTTTTTTCTTTCTGTTGGCCTTGGCTGCCATCAGATAATATGAGTTCACCCTTCTGGTCTCACAGTTTTTTTGCAATTGAGATTCTGTTTATTTTTTTTCACACTTCCCCCATTTGATAAAGATCTTCGAAAGCATCACTGACCAAGAGTCGGGTTTTCTAGTTTCAGTGCTTTTCTATTGCTCAGTGTCAGGAAGGACCTTGCCTGGCTGAAATATCTCATGTTGAAGGTAAAGGGCACAGACTGGGAACCTCCTAATGTCACATGCAAGTAAGAAAGAGGAGTAGGATGCAGAACTCTCAGGGACTTTTAATCTGAAGTTGATATGCCATCACAATCATAGATGCTAGAGATAATCTGAAGTGTCATGTCATCATCAAAGGCTTGGCAATAAATTTCCAGCATACTTTGTCCATTTAACTTGGGAAAACTGTCTCACTGTATGTCATCTACTTTAAATCTGGGGAATGTTTACTTTCAGGTTGCCAGATGTTGTCCAGTTAGGGCTTGGTGCCTTTTTTACATACATCACGTGAATTCAAGAATCTATTTCTTGGAGTCTGACAGGACAAAGATTTGCTAGCAGTACTTGATATGGACTTCTCCAGTGAGGTTGAAGAGTTCTTCTGGAGGTGTCTTTTCTAATAGATAAGATCTCCGGGTTGCAGGGGTTTCCCTCATAGCTCAGTTGGTAGAGAATCTGCCTGCAATGCAGGAGACTCAGGTTCGATTCCTGGGTAGGGAAGATCCTCTGGAGAAGGAAATGGCAACCCACCCCAGTTTTCTCACCTGGAGAATCCCATGGACAGGGGAGCCTGGAAGGCTACAGTCCATGGGATCCCAAGAGTCAGACATGACATAGTGACTAAACCACCACCACCAGGTTGCAACTTGTGATATTTAAGGTCTTTGTATTCTGGGAGTGGTGATTTACTCACTAAGTTGTAAGGCCTTCACCTTGTATGTGTTAGTCACTCAGTCTTGTCTGAGTCTTGCAACCCATGTACTGTAGCCCACCAGACTCCTCTGTCCATGGAATTTCCCAGGCAAGACTATTGGAGTGGGTTGCCATTTCCTTCTCCAGGGGACCTTCCCAACCCAGGGACTGAACCCACATCTCCTGCACTGCAGGTGAATTCTTTACTGCTGAGCCACTGGGGAGCCCTATTCTGAGAGTACACTGTGAAAAGATTGCTGTAACAAAACATGACTGTTTTTAATAGAAAGAGTTAGGTCTCTGCAATATTAGCATATTTTTCCTTTTATCCTTGTGGGTCAAAAGAAGCAAGAGCCAAGTATACTGGGAATCCTATGACTATCTCTGACTTCCCAGGTAGTACTAGTGGTAAAGAACCCACTTGCCAATTAAGGAGACATAAGAGACGCGGGTTCCATCCCTGGGTTAGAAAGATCCTGTGGAGGAAGGTATGGTAACCCACTCCAGTATTCTTGCCTGGAGAATCCCATGGACAGAGGAGCCTTCTGGACTATGATCCATAAGGTAACAAAGAGTCAGACACAACTAAAGCAACTTAGCATGCACACATATGATCATCAAAGATGAGAGTTTATGAGTCCAAAATAACAGGATCTACGATTTTAAAAAACCAATGGCATTATCAAAATCAAAATATACAATATTTCCTTCACTCAAAAAGTTTTCCTCATGCCTCTGTGTAGTGAATCCTCTCACCCAACTCTGCTGCTGCTGCTGCTGCTGCTAAGTCGCTTAAGTCGTGTCCGACTCTGTGCGACCCCATAGACGGCAGCCCACCAGG